ATCATGAAAACCACCCCATTTCATCAAAGCCTGATGCAGACTATGAAAAACAATTTGGTTTCAAACCACTCTAAGATATGGTCTTTTTTCTCTGCCCCCAGATCCCAATATTAAAAGATAACATGTAAAACCTCAGTTCTTAATCATTTGATTTTTGACTCCAGCTTTGTGAAAGGGAAGAATTTTCATGTCGCTTAGAAGCAAGCAAACTAAAAATATCAAATAAGTTTGCTTCAGTCCTGGAAAAGGTGACTCGATGGCAGAAACTGTTATTTTGATTTTCCTCTTATCCTTCATTTGCCAAGTTCACTTTTCTATGCTGTCTTATGGTTTCCTCCACCACAGCTGGTCAGGTAACACCCAGTGAGGTACTAGAATCAGCCACAGGATTCATAAGCTGTTTTCATGGGATGCAATTCTTTTTATTCTTGGTGTCTTTCTATTCCTGCAATGGTACATGTATGTACCAATTTCAGCTCCTGATGGATGCTAAGTTCCTCGGCTCCTACAGTGTTTTTGCTGTCACAGTTCCAACATAATTCCACAGCCACAACTTCCTTCTTAGCATAACTATCTACACTAACAAAAGAGAAACATGCAAATTGACCATCACTCCACTACACCCACCAGCCAATCAGGAGAGAATATGCAAATTAGAAGGACAAAGATGGAGACTGCCCAACTGCTCCAGGTGTAGAGTAGCTGGGCAGGGAAGGATGCCTGCTATGAGAAGGAAGGCAGGGGGCAAAAGGATCTACAGGAGCAGAGTGCCACAGCAAAGACAAGACTGTAGTGAAGACGAAGGAGGCAGACTCTGGCTGGAATGAAGGCCTGGGTCCTGGATGCCAGAGGAAAACCGGTGCTGGAAGCCAAGGGAAGGAAGGCCTATTGCATGAATCTTTTCATGCAATGGGCCTCTAGTGATAATCTATAAAACCTGATTTTTGAGTATTGGTAGAAGACAAATTAATTGACAATTCATAAGGGAACTATTGCTTTATTAGTGGCACCAATATGAGCCAACACTCCAAAAGGAGAAATGAAATAGGTAATGGAATCAATGACAGATTTACCTTGTGGGCACTTGGAAACATTATCCACTTGGAAGATCAACCTACCCTTTAGATTATGAGAATTAATTTAACTAACCTTTTATGTGTTATTAAGCCTTGTTCTAATTATATACTATGAAGGATTAAAAAAGTGAATGAAGTCATGGTCATTGTTCCTAAGAAATAATTTAGTTCATCATTTCCAAAACTGTATTCTTTGGAACACTAGTTCTAAGACAAACTCTGGATAAAAGAATTTCATGTACAAAGAAGTTTGACTTTTCTCTTGGAAAGCCATAACCTATTAAAGGCCCTGAGAAATTCTGAAGTGAAGAAATATTATATTTGTTTAACCTAGAGTTTGCCACAGTTATTTGATCATGAATCACTTTCTTTTTTAATGTAATACCTATAAATATCTCATGGAATACATTTTGGGAAATTCTGTCTCAGTAAGCTTGAGAATAGGATTGTGTTCTCTATTTCTTTTGTAGCACCACAGAAAAAATCCACTAACTTTTAGAAACACTTTGTTAAATAAATAAACTGTCAAATCCAGGTGGTAAGAGGGGTGGTTTCCAAATTTCAGTCCAGAGACAGGTGTCTGTAGTCTGCATTATTATTTCTTGGGGAAGCTGCTATAAATATAAATTCCTGAGCTCTGTTCCTGAAGTTTTTAACTCAGCAGATTTGAGACTGGGTCTGAGAGTCTGCATTAAAAATTCCCCAGATGATTTTCAGTTATGGCTAGTTTAGGAACTTCTGGTTAGTATGAGGCCACAGTTGAACATTCAGCATCTCTTACTTAAAGTTGTTCATTCCATGGTCACAAACTAAATTCTAGCTTTGAAATATGTGTCCATTGTAATCCATCTAGAATGTGAATGAATTTGATTAAGTCCAAAGCATTGAACCTATAGATAGGTCAAGTTTTGTCACATAGAGAAAATTTTCAAATTTAGAACAAACTCATGATTTTGAAGAAGTTGGACTGGGCCAAGAAAAAATGGGAATAATAATATAATAATACAATATATTTATTTATTTAAAGTTGGTTATTTCCTTTTTAGTGTGAATATGACATTGCTATTTAAAATAACTGGTAAACATGGGAGATCTAGTGAATGAAAGATCTGAAATATTTTTGGAATTGAGAGATTTTTTTCAACTGGTATTTAGGATTCTTAAAATGGTATTACTGCAGACAATAAGTAGGTGACTTTAAAACATGGAAAGTTAGCCTGTGAGTCTGATATAGTTATGAACTCAAACCTTGGGTGATAATACCAGGTAGATAAGGTAATTTTTCTTCAACATAAGTATTGTAAATACTATAAAACAGCCATAAAAATTTCTGTAAGACCATACATTTTAACAAAAAAAGGTCTATATAGAAATATGTACTGAAATGTTCTCTATATTTTATACTAAAAATATCTGAGGTCAGTCCTGATTTAGTCTTCTTATTAAAATTTAGTTTCTTAGTTATTTTTTATATATTGCTGATAGTGTTAATTGATTGTTTACCTTTTAAAACAATCTGAAGAAAGGTATTTAACCAGGTAAAACTAACTTAAAAGATTTTGAATAGCCTGTAAGATTATTTCCTGAGGAGAAACAATCAGGAGCACATTAATGTTTAAAATTTATTAAAAAATTTTTTTTGTGTGTGTGTTTAGTGTGTGCCCTGTCCTCCTCTTTTTCCTTCTCCCCCTCTTTTTCTTCTTCTTCTTCTTTTTTAAAAGATATATCTTATTGATTTTTCACAGAGAGGAAGAGAGGGATAGAGAGTTAGAAACATCAATGAGAGAGAATCATCGATCAGCTGCCTCTTGCACACCCCCTACTGGGGATGTGCCCACAACCAAGGTACATGCCCTTGACCAGAACTAAACCTGGGACCTTTCAGTCCCCAGGCCAACGCTCTATCCACTGAGCCAAACCGGTCCCGGCCCTTTTCTTCTTTTGACATTAGTTTTTGAAGCCACTAAAAAACTTTAAAGATTTAGTAGAAGGCTATTCTTTCATTTGTTTGGCTTAATAACCTCATTTGGACCTTCAAGATGAGGTTATAATATGGAAGAAAAGATCCTTTAAAACTTTTTCCTTTGATTAGTTACATAGCTTGGTACATTCATACAATTGAATGCTATGTAGCGATTGAGTGATTTTATAGCTTTCTATTAATTAACGTGGAAAGATATTCATTAAACAAAAGGGAAAAAAGATGCTCAATGTATATCATTAAATGAAAAGGCGGAATACCAGAATACAAAACATTATGATTCCATATGTTTAAATCCCATTATTTAATGTATAAATTTAAAAAAGGAAATAATAGCTAAAGTTTGTTAATTTGAGATTATGTGCCAGGTATTTACTAAGCACGTTGTACTCATTAGCCTATTTAATTCTCATAATCACCTATTAAGGTACCTGCTCTTATACCTTCCCTCCTTTGAGAAATTGAAGCACAGAGACACTAAGTTACCTGCTGAAAGTCATACAGCTAGTATTATAAGTAGTAGATCTGGGATTTGAACCCAGGAAATCTGGTTCCACAACTTCAATTCTAAATCTCTTGGCTATAACAACTGTACCAAAATATTGATGTTGTTACTTGAGGGTGGTATAAAATGATTTATTTTCATTTTTGTTCCTTTATGGATTGTCACAATTTTTTTTCTTCAATTAACATGTATTACCTTCAAATTAGAAAAACATATTTTGGGATGAAAATGAAGAACTCCACCACCACCTAAAGAATGTAGCAATGAATGCAACATATACTTAAATGACATCATACAATTTAGGCTTCAACCTAGCATTCTAAACAAAACTCTTTAAAAAGTATACGTTACAGACCATCTTGGTTGGCTGGCCCCGGGTGTCATATGGTGGCGGTGAGAGGTAGGAAGGTAGGTGGGCCCGGTGGTGGCGCTCAGGTCCTGGCCTTCCCCCCTCTGATGGGGGGAAAGGGGAGCCAGAATGCCACAGTTCCCGACATGGGAGGAGTTCAGTCTCATGGCGGAGAAGCTCTACATCGCAGACCCTCTGAAGGCACTTGTGGTTCTCAAATATAGGCATTCTGATGGGAGTTTGTGTATTAAGGTAACAGACAATTTAGTTTGTTTGGTGTTTAGAACAGACCAAACTGAGAAATTCCACCGTCAATTGATGCACTTATGGTAGCCAAGGGATCCTGCAGTGTTGCCACAGAAACGGACTGGCTGGTCTGAAATGAAGACCATTTGCCATATTCTTAGAAGTAGATGTCTTTTGAATTTGAGGAAGTGTTGGGACAGAAAATTCTTACTGTAACTAAGTGGGCTATTCAGAAGCCAGGATAGCACTTCTTTTGTACATTGCTCCTTAGAGCTAGGAATGCAAATGCTTTCAGTTAGAAAGCCTTTAATTTTGGAAATGGAACAAGAAATGTGTCTATCTTGGAAACTTTCTGCAGATTATTTGATGCTGGGAAAAATATGTAATTATTTTTTTTGGTAAGTTTGTAGCAATAATTTGAAAATAAGATATCAGGAAAGGCCTATTCTTCCTTAAGTTTAGTTTATTTGTTTTTTAAAAGAAATTAAATGTAACCATTTTTGCTGGGTTGATCATTTCTTTTGGGGCATAACATTTGTGCAGTTGATGACCAACAAATACAAAATATGGTAACTAGAATTAACTGTGCGCTGTAGTATAACTAATTATGTATAGTCTAGTCTCAATTGTATCTAAAAGTAATTATGAAAACAAGTATGCTTTACCTTGAACTTTCCAAATTTAAACTATTTTATAATATAAGGGATTATCTATAATAATAAAAGTGTAATATGATAATTAGACCAGATATTCCGGACAAAGCCATAACAGTGGAGGCTGAGGCAGCCACCAAAGTGGCAGGAACCAAGCCCCTTGCATGAATTTCATGCATCGGGCCTCTAGTTAGTATTATAAGTTTGTTGGGCAATCTTTGAATCTAGTTTTCAGTGCTTAAAACACATGGACAGAATGGTCACTGATAGACTGAAACCACCATATTACAGGACACTTGTCACATATTCCCCATGTGGTTTCTCAGAAGGATTAAGGATCATGCAAACTGTGAAATCTTTGCATACATCTTTGATACCCATGTCCACTCCTCTCATTACTTACGCATGACTATCACAGCTGTTATGTTTCCATTAAGCCAGAAGAATATTATTTGATATTTATCTCTTATCTGTAATCTGAATTTTACCAATTAATGTAATGTCCATAGGTTGATTCCTACATTAAAATAACTTTTTGTTAGGAAAATAAGAAGAATTATACATTACAGATAAGAATATCAAACTTTGCCACATATTGAGTTCTCTAGTCAAAGATGAGTTACCAGCAAAGAATTGGCAATATAATTCAGTATATCTAAGGACCTGAATTATATTTTAAAATTTGGATAGTGATGGATGATATATTTATATATATTTGTATTTATTAAAATTTTCTAGGGCAGAAGTGTATAAGATGAACATTCCCTTGTCCTGGTCATCTTCTAAACAAGCTACAAACACTGCCTTCTGCCTTGCCTGCTTATTGACACCAGATACCTTCTCACCGAATGACAAGAAGAAGGCTTCTCTGAACTCAGTCATAAAATGCTGCCAAATTCACATTGTCATACTTCACTATTGTTAAATAATGCAGAAGAAATATTGTTTTTATCAATCTGATGACTTTTCTGTTTTCTTTTAAAAAATATATTTTATTGATATTTTACAGAGAGGAAGAGAAAGGGATAGAGAGTTAGAAACATCGATCAGCTGCCTCTTGCACACCCCCTACTGGGGATGTGCCTGCAACCAAAGTACATGCCCTTGACCGGAATCGAACCTGGGACCTTTCAGTCTGCAGGCCGACACTATCCACTGAGCCAAACCAGTCTCGGCATTGTTTGCTATTTCTAAGACTGGACAAGAGAATGTAAATAAGCTAAAGTGGAAGTGTTTTTTCAATTGTAAGCATAATATATACCCTGCAAAAAAAGTTAAACTATACAGAGAAAGAAAAAATCATTCAAAATCTAACTGCTCACATATAAAAATGTTCTTATTTTAATGTAGCTCCTGACTTTCTGTTATACACATTTATTGCAAAAAAAATAAAGGGACCAAGAGATTTTCTTTCTCACTTAATAATATATCTTAGAATTTGCCTGTTAATAAATCTAATGCTACATTATCATCTTTAATAGTTATTTTTATTATAAGAGAGCATCATAATAAATGATTTAATTACTCCCATCTTTTTGGAGATTTGGGTTATTTAAAGTTTTTTTTTTAATATTATATGCAATGCCACCACATACATACAGACACATATAATTATACATATACATGTGTATATGCTTATATGTGTATGAATACATTTTTGTTCTTTCATTTGATTATTTCCTTAGGATTTATTACTGGAATTGAAATTGTTGCATCAGAAGGTAGGCATATTTACATCTTTGTAAGAAAATATTTTTCAATTACAGTTGACATACAATGTTGCATTAGTTCCAGGTATAGAACATAGTGATTAGACATTTACATAACTTATGAAGTTATAACCCCAACAAATCTCTTATTCATCTAACACCATACATAGTTATAATAATAATATTATTTACTATGTTTCTTATGCTGTCCTTTACATCTCCATGACTATTCTTATAGTTAACAATTTGTACTTCTTAATCCCTTTCATATTTTTCACCCATTCCACATCTCCTCCTCCCCCCGATTGGTAACCATCAATATTGTCGGTTTGCTCTCCAGAAAGGAATGGCCACTTCATTCCCTGGCCCACAAAACAAGACAAATCACCAGTACCTGGTACTATCAGTTTTTAAATACTTGGGACTGTTCTAAGTAAAAAGAAATTTTCTTCTCTTTTAAAATTAGTTTGATTTTGGTTACAAGTAGGTTGTCTTTTCATTTTGTTGATGGTTTCCTTTGCTGTGCAAAAATCTTGAGAAAGAAGAACAAAGTTGGAGGAATCATGTTACCTGATATCAAACTATACCATGAGGCCATAGTAATCAAAACAGAATAATGCTGGCATAAAAACAGACATAGAGGTCAGTGGGACAGAACAGAGAGCCCAGAAATAAAGCTATCCCTTTAAGGTTAATTCATATTTGCCAAAGGAGGCCAGGGCATACAATGGGGTAAAGATAGTCTATTCAATAAGTGGTGTTGTGAAAATTGGACAAAAATGTGAAAAAAAAATAGAAAAGAAAAGAAAAGAAAGAAAGAAAAGAAACCAGACTACCTTTTTTCACCACACACAGGAATAAACTGAAAATGGATTAAAGACTTAAATGTTATACTTAAAACCATAAAAATCCTAGAAGAAAACAGGCAGTAAAATCTTGGACATTTCTCTTATCAATATTGGTTTCTAATATATCTAAGGGCAAGGGAAACAAAAGAAAAAAATAGGTAAATGGGACTACATCAAACTAAAAAGTATTTGTACTATTTTAAAAGGGTCATGAATCTGACCTGTTTATTTGGTAACTGAAAGGTAGCAGAAAGGACAATAATTCAGCGGTGGCCAATGTAAGAAGTTTTGGTGAATGCTTGCCAAATACCATTTACACCCACACATTCGCAAAGCAAATAGAGATCCTATTGCACAGCCTAGCTCCATGTGTTCCGTCAAATTTCCTCTGAAGAAATCATAAAGTGAGCTGCCACCCACAATTCATGTTGGTTATATGTTACCCCTGGCTTTTAATGAAAATGTAAAACCCACGGGTCCAATTCTCCTACTTGGCTCTGTATGTGTAAAGGGTGAGTTGAATAGAAATAATTAAGGACAGACTGGGAACTTTTGAAAAAACTAAACTAGGGATTACCTCAGATGCACTAGGAGTCGTTTAAATTCTTTTTTTGACCCTGTCTTATAAACATAGCCTGTTTCAGTAACCTTGACTGTTTTTGCAAAGTTGACTGGTCAACATAGCATCTCCCTGTGAGGTAGGTTCCTGAGCATTTAATCAAACACGAGACTAAGAGATAGAGGTAACAGTATGCTTAGTATTTGAATTATGACCCCAGGACATGTTATATAGACTCTTTAAAAGAAAAGGGTTTTCACACTTGCGTTTCTGATTCAGTTGGGGCCATACTTTCATGGCCACATGGACTTTCAGAGACTCCAAGCTCATTTTGATTGCTGGTGCAAGGTTATAATATATTTCAGTAATTTGGCATTTGTTTATTATTATTGTCACTGAATCTGCACATTTGAAATTTATTTTTAGTTAATGAATGCTGTTGTACTTGAGTGGGCCTCTCAGATGCCAATAGGGTATATCAAGACCCTAGTGTCTGTTAAAAGTTGAGTAATGGTTTCTGTATTTATTTTTCTTTTCTGTTTGGCAACTTTTATAGATTTGGGGGCAAATTCTTCCAGTATTCTAAGATATAATCTTTTTGAAGGTATGTACAAAACACTAGCAACTGGTAAAATGTGAAGTGTAAATAAAATTCAGATAAATTTTTGGCACAACTTTTATAAGAGGTTAGAATAATGACATAACCTTTTAATTTTATCATAAATTGATGTTTTATAATCTTAAAAACAAGATATGGTTGGTAAGATAATAGAATCTGAATTTAAAGAATTGAAGAAGGTGATCTTGTGAGTGGATGTCAGAGTAAAAGGCATTATGTTTTCAATAGCAGTTAGTGGAATTATGCATAATGAGGACTATCCATTTGCTTATTATGTTTAAATTGGATCTCATGAGGTTTCTGTGAAGATTTAATAAATTAAATATAATGTGTCTAGCATATTTCCTTGCTATTCTAGGGCAGGGGCTCAAGGAATGTTGCTCTCTTAAAAAAATTAATATACCTGGCTTCCCTGATACTGGCACCACCAGGAATTTTATCCCATTTTACAGATAAAGAAACAGGTTTAAAGACATTGAGGGATTTTTCTAATTCACATAGTGTGATAACTGAGATTCAAACCCAGGTTATTGATACTGGAGCTTAACTACTATGATATTCAAGAGTGTTCTCTAAACTTTGGCACCTTTATTTCTGGTAGAATGAAATTATTTTAGGTGAAATACAAACACAGCTTTTAAAATGTAATAGATAGCCTGGCCAGTGTGGCGCAGTGGTTGAGTGTCGACCTATGAATCAGGAGGTCATAGTTCATTCCCAGTCAGGGCACATGGCCAGGATGTGGGCTCGATCTCCAATGGGGGGTATACAGGAGGCAGCTGATCAGTGATTCTCGCTTATCATTGATGCTTCTTTTCTTTCTTTCTTTTTTTTTTATTTCAGAGAGGAAGGAAGAGGGAGAGAGAGATAGAAACACCAATGATGAGAGAGAATCATTGATTGGCTGCCTTCTGCACACCCCCCACTGGGGATCGAGTCTGCAACCCGGGCATATGCCCTTGACCGGATGGAAATTGGGACCCTTCAGTCTGCAAGCCAACGCTCTGGGCCAAAACAGGTAGGGCTCATCGTTGATGTTTCTATCTTTCTTCCTTTCCTTTCTTCTTTGAAATCAATGAAAAAAATTTTAAAAAAATTTAATGCATAAATATGTGCATATTTATATAATTATTTCTACTAGCCTCACAATCCATTTTTTTTTCCTGTGTCCTATTTGCAAAGAAAAGTAGTTGCCTTGTAAGTAAATTAAAATAGCTGCAGTATTCCTGAAGCAGCTTTGGAATTTTTATTATTTTTTATTTAAATATCAGCTTTACTGAGAAATAATTTATACATAATCAGACTCACCATTTTAAAGTGTGCAATTCAGTGACTTTTAATATATTCACCAAGAATATTGATCACTACTCTCTAATTCCAAGACATTTTCATTATCTTCAAAAGAAATTCCATAGGCATTAAATAATCATTGCCCATTCTCCCATTCCCTCAGTCTACCAAAAACCACTAATTTACATTTTGTATCTATGCATTTACCTATTTTGGATATCTATTCTGAATAAATATTTATTATGGCCTTTAGTATCTAGCTTTATCCATTTAACATAGTGTTTTCAAGGTTCATTCATTTGTATCAGGTGCTAGTATTTGATTCTTTTTATGACTAAATAATATTCCATT